ACAAAGTGTACACCCACAGCTTCCTCTGCTACGGGAGGGACCAGTTCCTCAAGAGGCTGTTCTCCAAGGTCCTCCAGGTACAGCGTGTGCTTGATGTGGATGCTGGCTGTCACAACCCCACAGTTGCCCCCTCACCCTGGTGTTTGCACAGGGGTGTCCCCCAGCCCTGAGCCAGCTGGGTTTCCCAGCCAACTCTTGGGTTTTTCTCCAAACCCTCTCCTGTGTTCCCAGGGCTTCCACCCACCATTTCCATAAGGTGATGCACCCCTTGGCTAGAGCCAAGATACCCCAAGCCATCTTGAGACAGTTGTGGCAACTGCTCCATGTCTCGCTGCTCAAGCTCCAGGGAGGAGCTGGGGCTATGGTACAGCTTTTGCATCCTGAGTGTCCCTCTTCTGGCAGGCTGAGAGCTACCAAGCAACTGTTCCCAATCCTTGCTGGCCCATGGGCTACAACAGAAGCCTGTCACTGAGCAGCATCTATGACAGCCCCTGCACAGAGAAGGAGAGGCCAAACCTTGTTCTCAACAGCACCGTCACCTTGTTTGGCACCGGGAACGGGAACCTCTGTGCTCTGCATGTCAGCAAGCTCTTCGACTTCACCACCTGCTCCTTCTCCCACTGCTCCTTTGATGGCGTTTTCCAGCCGAAGGTTTCAGGAAACTTTATTGTAAGTCCCGGCCTGCAGCAGGGTGGCAACCCAGCTGCTGGGTGGGTAGGTTGTCCCCAGCACCTCCAGCATCATATGGCAGCAAAGCCAGGCCCCCAGCTCTGCAAGGGGGGGTTTGTGCTCACCGCACCGGTCAGTCTCTGTTCACGGTCAGAGAAAGAACCTGTCCAACAGCTGCTCCCTTTCCTCCACCAGGCCTTCTCTGCATTCTTCTACACGGTGGACTTCATCCAGACCGTGATGGAGAGACCCGTGCACCTGCCCAGTGACCTGAAGGATGCTGCAGAGACCATCTGTGCCACCAGCTGGAGTGAGGTGGGTTCCCTAGGCACAGCAGGGAAGAGGGGGCTGCTTTGTGGGGGGCATAACCCAGGCTCTGAGAGCAGCCCTTGGAGGGGGCTGGGTGTCCTGGCCCACATGGAGTAGGAGTAAGGCAGGTGACAGCTCCAACATGGGACCAGGAGGGGCTCAGGTGGGTATGGGCAGCCTTGGCCTGACAGATGCAACCACCCAGAGCTTCAGGCCACAGACACAAGCCTGGCCGCTGCTGGCTTGACCCCTCTTCTCCTTCCCTCCATGCATCCCACCTAGCTACTCCAGAAAGCCCCCAAGCTGGAGAAGAGGCTGCCAGATTACTGTGCTGTCAGCACATTCGTGTATTTGCTCACCACCAGAGGCTACAACTTCAACAACCACTCCTTCCCCAACATCGTCTTCCAGAAGAAAGTGAGTAGCACCAAAGCACATCTCCATTCCATGGGATCTTTCTGGAGTTAGGCAGGAGATGATTCTACACCATGAAAGAGCCAAGCAGAGTGAAGGAAGATCTTGGGGAACAGGGGCAGGACAGAACTCTCAGTTTTTGATTGGATCTCCCGGGGAATGGGAAAAAATGAGCTGAGCTTGCTGTAGGGTGGGGTGAGGTCCTTCAGCCCTTCCTTGGCCCTCAAGACACCAGCCATCCCAAACGATGCTTTGCTTAGGCTTTTTGGGAAGTTACCTCAGGGCAGGATCCCACTTTTGGCTGCACACACCATGGGACGGGCAATGAGATCAGGACTGAACTGAGCAGACAAGGTTCTGCTCCCATGGGATGAGCCCACTTTAGCACAGGATGGTCACTGCTCTGTCCCTGGGCTGACTGGACCCATGGGCAAGCAAGAGCTCAGGGTGTTCTGAGTCCCTCACACCCTTCTCCTCCCTTGGGCTGACACTGAGGTGGTCCCTGAAAAGGCTAGAGCACAACTCTAATGAGGACTGGCTGAGGGAGCTGGGGGGTCAGCCTGGAGAAAAGGAGGCTCAGGGGGGACCTTTTCACTCTTTACAACAACCTGAAAAGAGGGTAAGGTCAGGTATGGGTTGAGATCTCCCAGGTAACAAGTGACACAACAAGGGGAAACAGCCTCAAGTTGCACTAGGGGACATTTTGGTTGGATCATAGGGACAATTCCTTCACAGAAAGGGCATTAAGGCATTGGAACAGGCTTCCCAGGGAAGCAAGAGTCACCATCCCTGGAGGGATTTAAAAGACATGTGGATGTGGTACCTGGGGACATGGTTTAGTGGTGGCCTTGGCAGTGCTGGGTTAGTGGTTGGACTCCATGATCTTAGAATCATGGAATCATTAAAGTTAGAAAAGACATCTAAGGTCTCCTGAGGCCCACAGAGCTGGGCTGGCTGGCTGGATGACCATGCCATGCTCTTTCCACAGGCAGGAGAAACCTCCATTGGCTGGGCCCTGGGCTACATGCTGAACCTCACCAACATGATCCCGGCAGAGAAGCCCTCCTCCCACAAAAGCATGTTGTACAACTACTGGGTCCTCCTCATCCTGCTCTTTGTGGTCACCACCCTGACGTCCCTGGTTACTGCCGTCTGCCTGCTCCGGCGCAGCAAGTCCAGTGCGATCTGATGGTGGGGACTGCAGGACCCAGCACCATCCTACCTGCTGGAGTCTCCATGGCCTGAACACTTGGGATGCAGTGAGTGCTCAGTGTCCTCTTCCAAGGCCTGGGACAGTGTCCCAGAAGGAAAGCTGTCCCCTTTTGCCCTCCCCTTGCCCTCAAGCTGCAGGAAAGGAGGGACAGAAGAGGAAGGGTTTCCCAGCACTACTGGACGTGACAGCAGGTTTGGGAATGGGACATTCAGAGCTGGGACATCTTTCTGCCACCAGAACTGAGTTGGACTGGGCCAGTGAGCCAAGGCAACAGTAGGATTTATTTTCATTTGTATGGGGGTGGGTGGGGAATATTATTTATACCAGTCTTTACAGCTGACCTTGCTAGCCTGTCCCTGGAGCAACAGCCCTGCCTCCTGGGGAGCTCTGGGCAGCACCCAGAGCCCACACTTGTCCTTCTGGCCAGCACACAAACCCCACTGACCTTCCTGAAGGCCAAATCTTGGCCTAGACTTCCACTGCTCTCAGCTTTGGGTAAGGGCTTAACAACAACAAGATGTGGGGAGCCAGCAGTTTCCAGGTCCCACTTCAGCAACCACACATGGTGCCTCCCCCATCCCTGTGGTTCCTGTGCTAGACTTGCCTTTGCCACTCCTCCATCCCCCGGTGCCGGCAGCTCCGTGGTGCATGGCCATGGCCAGCACAGAGGCGATGGGCTTGCTGTGGGGGCCGGGCTTTGCTCTGCACTGGGATTTGAGCCTGCCAACACCCTATGCCGGGCAGCTGAGGGGATGCCTCTTCATTTCCAGTTAAGAACAGGGACATGCAAACATGCAGAAGCTTTGATTTTGTCTGTTTGGGGGTTTTTTTTATAACCTGAAATAAACCTTTGTAACCACTGCTATGGCTTGGTGGCTCCTGATCAGCAACAGGCAGATCAGCCTGGCAGAGCCAGGGTCAGGCTCTGCCCGAAGGCCTTATCCCTTCCAGCCCATCCAGTGCTGGGACACCATCATGACTTTGTTTATTTGTTTGTTTGTACCAGCCTGGAGACCCCCCAAGATGGACTGAGGTGGGCTGGAAACCTCACTCCAGTCCAAGGGCCACCTGAAGATGGAGGAGTTCCAGCCAGCCACTGGCTGTCATCGAGTTCAAGTTTCCCCGTAACTGGAGGTGCAGTCACCCCAAAGCCAGGAGTAGGCAGCACTCAAGCTGCCCCTCACTGCCACAGCTCCCATGCACGGACAACTTGCTGGCAGGCCTCCACTCCCGGGCCCCAGTGCTGGTGCCCAAGCAGGGCACCCACATTTCCTGGTACAGTCACTGGCAGCTCAGAGACACCGTGACACATCTGGCACCTGACAGCCGTGTGGGTCCAGTCCCAGCTCTCCAATCCATCAGGAAGCCTCCCCCCGCCCTGCACGTTCCCCAAACACTCCAGAGAGGAGTGGCTGTAGGGAGCTGTGGTTTCTTGCTGCCCTCCTTGCTCCTGCCGGCAGCACGAGCTCTGGTGAGCAGGTCTGCTCACTTCCCAACACCCTCAGCTCTGGCTGAGCTCCTGGAATGCTGTGCTTGGCTTAACCCACCCGTTCCCAGCAGTACTTTATTTTCAGCTGTTCCGCTGGCTGCTCCCCATCTCTCTGCACAAGGCAAATCTGATTCCAGTTCAGATGATGTTCTGAACCCTTAAACCCAAGTTTCTTCCCCAGACTCCTCATCTCCCCATCACAGGGACTCCCTCCCATGGTGGAGTGAGGCTCAGGGTCTGTCTCCACATCTCACACGGAAGGAAGAGGTGCTTCTGGTCCCTGAAGCTGAAACACTGCTCTAAGAACCCAGGTACCTTCCAGAATCCAGGCTGCATTTCCTCTTCTAAGAAATTCAGATGCAGCTGAATCAGAGTTGGACATCCACCAAGAGCAGCCAGTTTACCTAGTTAGGACTTGGAGTCTGACACTAGGAAAAACCCACATGCCCCTCTCTGTGCATGGGATTTGAGACAGTACCATATCCTTGCCAACTGGTTATGGATCTGGATGGGCAATCTGGGACTGGCCAGATGACGTGCCCTGGGCGGTGACAGGTGGGCACCACAGAGAGGGGCCCTGGGCACATGGTCACCCCTGTTGCAGGGGCAGAGAACACCCCAGAGGCCACCCAGCTATGGGGCTCAGCCCAGCCCTGTTCAGGTGGGTGGGAAAAGCCTTGCTGCTGCAGGGGTAGGGACATGGGGACTGGCTGGGTTCAGGGTACAGAAAGCACACAACAACAGCTCTGCCCTTGTAGCTTAGCCCAGACCTGCCCGTGCCTAGAGCCAGCTCGCAGCAATCCACGTGCCAATAGAGTGTGAGTGCCACCTGTTCCCTCGGGGTGACATTCACCACCTGCTCTGCCTGTCCCACTGCCGGCCTTCACCTCATCCACAATGAGCACCTTCAGTTCTTGACTTTTATTGTACCCTCAGTGCAATGTTCAGAGGCCATGAGGTGGGCAGCAGTGATCCCTGTAGTGCCTCCACCACACTCTCGCTGCAGGATCAAGTCCTCTGAGCTTCCCAACAGTGCCATCAAGCCTACCAAGTGCACAGGCAGCATGGGCAGCGACAGGTTGGGCAGGCAGCAGGGGCTGAAGTGGGATACAGGTACAGAGTGCTGTGCTTTGCCGGCTACTCCACCACATCTCCATACCTGTTCCTCCTCACCGGCAGTGCGGCGCTGTCCCTGTCCTCTGTGCTGAGCAGATTTTCTGCAACAGAAAGTACAAGCTCCCTGGACCTCCAACTACCCTGGTGTGTTTGCCAAGGGTGGGCAGAGAGAGAACCACAGAGCCCTAGTGAAGTGTTTAAAGCCTCTTCAGGTGGGCCCAACTCTGGGACCTCAAGGTGCTTTAGGAGCTCAAGGTACATGTGACAGAGAGCAGCAAGCAGCCACGGGAACTGTCCAGTGCCTCTCTTAGTGCCCCTCCAGCTCTATCCACTCTACGGAGCAGTAATAAACCTCTCTACACCTCATTTGCTCTCTCCATCCCTTACCCTCTCCATCCTCTTCCAGCAAACGAGCCCTTCATGCTGGCTCTTGTGAATCCCCAAAGCAGGCAGGGCACCAGTTAGCAGTTAGCAGCGAGTGCACCCAGCCCACATCTCCAGGTCTGCTCAGGTACCGCTGTGCCCAGAACACAGCGGGACATGGGAACTATGAGATCAGGTAGGGAGCTCCAACCACCACATGTCCTTCTGCTCCCACTCCTCGGATGCGGTGTGCCAGTGTGGGACTTACATTGAGATTTTGGCAATTACACAGTCACCAGTTTAATTATGAGACAGGAATAGCAAACTAATTATTGCAGCAGGGAAGAACCAGGCACGACAAGCCTGGGGAAAGCAACAGGGAATTGTGAACGTACCTGTGGTCTGAGACACCCCACCAGTCACGGCGAGCTGCTGTGGGGACTTGCCTGTCTCCAGATAAATCCAGAAGTCGGAGCATTTCTGTGTCTCAGCTCTGGTTACCACATAGCTCGCGAGGGACCCTGCGGCTGGGAAGGCCGAGGTGCTTCTGACAGCGCCAGCAGCACCTTGGTGGGGACAGCACCTGATGCAGCTGCCCAAGAACCCTCCGGAACCCCCGGGGACTGGGCGTCGAGAGGTGACCGGAGCTAGGGACGAGCCCCCCACAGTAAGGGCAAACACCTCTCTGCCCGCAGCACCACCCGGGCCAGGCACTCACCCATGGCCAGCAGCAGGCTCCACTGCGGGCTGTACGGCAGCTTCTGCCGCGCCAGC